TTATTTTTAATTTAAAAAAACGAGTCAAACACAATTTTTATTAATGTTTATTGTAAATTCAATAAATTAATTTATTGCAGAATTCCGATTTATTTCTGTTCCTGCATAGGAATCTTCATATGTCACTCGCGACGATTTCTGCTCCAGTTCTGCACGCGAGCCGCAAAAGCAACTCGCAGGCGCTTGCGTTTCAGATTCTCCCAACCAAGCCGCGAGCCGCAAAAGGTGGGGAACGTGAATCCGGGAAACAGGTACATGCCGTGACGTTTATTTCTCAGTCGTAAGTCGACGCGTTTCAGGTGTAGTACGTCTGTCTGTGTTCAGCACCGTCTGTTGAAAGTATCTCTTATACGACCGGCGGCGATCGAGCCAGCGTTATCTCGCGAGGAGAATCAACGTCATCGTCAGCTGTTCTCGTCTCTCGCTGACGATATTTTGCCTTATTTACAGACTTTTTACTGGTATCGAGTAAGTAAATTTGTCTTGTAAAGTCAAACATTTTTACTGTGATGACCGGTAATTATGTGAATACATTATACATAATAATTTCTCATGAAAACGTAATGTTGACATCAATATCTGAGAAAGAGTGATCTTATCACGTTATATATTGTTCGAGAAAGCATGTATCATTTAAAGTTCGTTATTATTTCTGCTTCTTGAACGACACATTCTGTTCGAACGACAAAGGCTATGGATTTTTATTTAGTTTTTCGGACTCTACGTCACATCTCAAATAGATAAATTCGTGACTAACAACTCGGTGCCGATATTCATCATTGTTCGTCTACTTCGAGACTTGAGTTGTTATAGGGCCTGGGCCGTGCTGTTATTGATATTTCGAAAATTACTCTCTCATGTAAGAACACTCTGTCTGATTAGACTTCGCCGGGAGTACACGCGCTCAGCTTTGGTCTCGAACGGAAACGGCTCTCGTCATGCAGTTCTCACGCTGCTAATTAGTTATCGCACGGTTTAAGTGTCGCGAATCGAGATCTCGCGTGCTCGCTGTTGTTCAGTGAGAATTCCGAATTGAAGTAAAGAAGTGTTTTTAAATTTTTAAGACTTCGATGAAGTTATATCCCTGTTTTCGATCGGCAAATCAATCTTTTTAGATTCTTTAATGTTTTCGTGTTAATTGAAAGCACATCTATCTATAATCTATGTAAATTTGCTGTATTATTATAGTATTGTTATTCTTATAACAGAACTGCTAGTTATTACTTATAGATAAATTATATTGTATTATAACATATATTAAATTTGAAAATGGTTATTCGTTTCTAACATAACTAAAATAATCAATTAGATAAAAAAAAATAAATAAAATATTTTTTTTTAAATAAAAAAGAAATAATAAATGTGATAACGAATTTTTAAAGATTTTCTCTTTAAAGCTGCTTAACGTAACTATAGTAAAAATAGGTATTTTTATCACATGTATATCGTCAATGAATATGATATAATTTAGTGTGGTGTCTGCGAGTAATAACATGTGACAACGTTACAATTTTATTAGATTGATATTAGAACTATAACAAAGGTAATAAAATATATTGTACATAACTATTTATTTTATTTTTAACTATCTTTTTATAACTATTCACTATTATTTCCAATAACTAACTCATCATAATTTAGTATACTTATTAAGAAAATTGATTTTTTTTTTGTATATATCTGATTTATTATCTTCTATCGTGTTATTTAATATCATTTATTATCTCATACATTATTTTAAAACAGATACATATATTTCACATAACTATTTATTTTATTTTTAACTATTTTTTTATAACTATTCACTATTATTTCCAATAACTAACTCATTATAATTTAGTATACTTATTAAGAAAATTGATTTTTTTTGTATATATCTGATTTATTATCTTCTATCGTGTTATTTATTATCATTTATTTGTATAAATTGCGAGGTAATAAAGAGGCGCGAAGAAAAGACACGATTTTTCTTTGCAGGAATCGCGTTCACTTTCTAAGATTCGCGTTTGTGATGAATATTTCACAACCTCTCCCTCCAATTTTGGCGACATCACGACACACGTTTGTATCGTCTGTATATACTCTTATGTATCGATTGCCACTCTACTTTCATTCCCGTATTTGGATAATGAAATGCTACGGATACGCACGTGTACGCGCGTATATCGGTACACACGTATCCGCGTGTCATCTCGATATGGATATACGCGAATATAGTCGACAGGATCGCGTTTTTGCCATAAGTATATACATACCACATGATGTCATTTAGGTAGATATAGCATATGATGAAAAAGAGACAAATAATATCGCTCAACGTTATTTATATTCCTCATGAATATTTCTGCGCCAATAATGACTTCATTGTATACGTTTCAATCTTATCGATCAATAATTAATGATAATAAATGAGTGATAAATATTAACGAAAAAAAAGGTAAATATAAGAAGAATTTCGAGACCGCGAGTCATGTGTAGAAGATACAGCTTTAATATTTTACGATATACTTTTGCATTATTTCCGAGACGATATTTCTCTGCGTTTTTTAGCCTTTTTCTTCCTTTCGATGATATAAGAAGTATAAGTATAATGTACTCGGTCACATCTGCCATGACATGTGTGAATGTGTGATTATATTACGACTCAGTCATTATAAAACATTATTTCATCGTGGGTGACGCTTATTTAACTTCGTAGTATTCTTCGAATTTTTTTCATTGGTCATGTAAGATCTGGATATGATCTAATACGAACAGCGCCGCTATATGCGCGTGCAAATTATATGCATTTTTAGCATTATGAGAGAGAAAGAGAGGGTTTTAAAAATGAAAAAATATCTATTTATGTTGAGATAAAATATATTATTATTATTTTATTTATTAATATTTATTATTATTATTAACATTTATAATTAAAATGTCTGATCTTTTTTGTATTAATTTTGCAATGCTGAAAAGAACATAACAATATATAATGTTACTTCTCAAAATTTTAAAAATGTTAAATTTTGTATATAATCTTAGAAAAAGTATTAGATCCGGAGCCTTTAGGCCCAAAATTGGATGAAAATAAATTACTTTGAAAAGTTATCCTAAAGAGGAAAAAAGTTTGGAGAGATTCTAACGGGAAACTTGAAGAGCACGATGAAATTGTAAGTTGCTCGAATCTTTTCAAAGTTTAGTATAGTAGAGCGTACAGTAATGCATTTTATGCATCAATGATTGGCATGTATAAACACGCTACTTTGCATCATAAGTAAGTATATCATGAGTCATCATCATCGTCGTCATCGGCCACCGTATATTTGGGCACTTTTAAAGCTCTCACTCTCTGCTTCGGACCAGAACTCGGGCGCGGTGGGCGATCGCCGCGAATGCCCATCATGGACATGCTCTTATATGGTTTGCCATGAGTCGTCTCTGTGCGTGCCCCCGAGACTTCGAGGTCGCCTTCATTGCATAATTCATGGACGCCGTGTACACGCGTTTCACTGTCCACTCCAGAAAGAGTCCCGTTTGTTCGAGAAGTTCGTATTGAAAATACAGACGCGCGTTTTAGTTACCGGGATGCATTTAAAATATCCACATGCGCTCGGAAAATAGAAAATCTCCAGTATTGAGATTCAAGTTCCTCGAACATGATATTTTTGAAAAGCCAAAGCATGTTGAAAATATCTGCGTGGAAAAATGACATTTGAGCCATTCTTATATTGTATAGAACAATTATTTTTTATAGTTAAAGCAATTATACCTTTCTACATTTATTATAGATTATCCCCTTCTCGTCACAATTGTAAGGCGAGTGATCATATTTTAAATTTTGACAGAGAAAAAGAAACCACACACTCCTACAGGCAACATGGTCGGGATGACACAGAGACCTTGGACGCCTACAAAAAGACGAGGCCCGATTGCCGCCGAATACAGCAGCCCGGGACCGGCCTGCGTAACTCTACCACCATTAATAGGTATTTAAATTATATCTACTCTTCACAGAAATAGTAACTATTAACTAGTATTATTAATAAATAATCATTAAATATTGGCTTTATTAAAAATAACTCTCTCTGTACGTGTGCTTTACTTTAATTTATAATTGTATATAGCAATTAAAAATTGATTATATCTTATTTTGTCTTTTCTATAATATTTAGAATCACACTTTTCATATACAGTTCAAATACTTTGTACAATTGATTTTGCATAATTATATTCAAAGTGTATAATCATATAAATTCTCTTATTCTTCACATTTATTTATTAAAGCTATTCATTTGAGATCGTTAATCTTTTGAGAACGCTTGATAATCGGATGTTTAAACAAATTTTTCAAACTCATAATTACATTTATTAGTTTTACATAACTTTTGACGGTAATTTATAGCCTTCTTGTTCAAAAACATGACAAGAACGATTTCTTTATTGTGGGAATTAATTTGTCGGCAAAATTCCTGAGACGCAGTTGAACTTATTAATTAGCATATCGTTACAACCATCATCTGCATGATTGCAATCGCGATCATTATGTATTTATGATTTACGAGCTGCGCGCAACGACGGCGTTTCATAATTAACGGAACAACAACCGTACTTCCGCACTATAATAATAATGTTGCCTTGTAACTTTTTACGATTCTTAGTTTAAGTTAATAAGTATTTATCAGATCTCCTGTGATAATAATTATACGACATAATGCTTTATTATACAGAAATACTTTGTAATATTTGTAGGAAAAACAGTTACAGATTCCAAACGAGAAAGGGCACCAGCATTCTCCTTCGGCAGCAGGTAAAAGTGATAATTTAAGTATAAATTTTACATTTAAATTTAATTTGTCAATTTAAATTGTTTCATAAATTTTAATACTATGAAAATACTGTACAATCCTGCAGTATATTTAAGAAAACAGAGTTGTTCGTCGATTTGTCTCACAGCTCTAAAGTACGCTTTATGATTTTCTACTTTAAAGGAGCAATGTGTAACTTAATTTTACATGCGGTCTCACATATTACAATTTTTTCAGACATGCAACGAAAAACAATAGCGCTGGACCTGGTCCTGGGCAATACAATGTCTCTGGGCTTAGCGCAAAAGGTAAATGTATGATACAAACAGAATTGAATGAACATGAACAAAATACTTATCTAAAATTTTACCGAAAACTTTTCAAAAAAAAATGTTAACAATTAGATACACACTATTTAAATAATTTAAATAGTATGTAAACAAATGAATTTATTTAAATTATTTAACTAGAACATTTATTTAAAATACAATAAGTAAACAAGTAAACGATAGCTATTATCTTTTTCGTGTTAAAGTACGATAACAACATCAAGGTATTAAGCGCAAGCTTATATGAATGCGTGATTGCTTCGCGAACTTGCAAGTTCCGTCGGCCGAGATATCGACCAAACTCCAAACCGCCGATATTCCATAAGAATGATACATTTTAATGGCCCGTGTTCACGAAATTCCTTCGCTTCGAGCTTGAATAGAACCGGCACGATCGATACGTGTATACAACTTCTTTAGACTCGACCTGCTTTGGATAATAAATGTACTTTAATTTATCAAATCACACAGTAATTTTCCATTAATATTTTTCTTCATTTCTACATCTTTTTAGATTTTTTTACCGGTTAGTTTTTGAGAATATTTATTTATTTAAAATCAAGGTTTCTTAATGAGTTCTAATAAGAAACACAATGCTGCGTATCAATTATCAACCAAAATAATTACTAAAAATGTTAAAAACTGAATAATATTCAATGTATAAAGAATATCGTACTATAAGTACCTTTCCTTTCCCTTTCTCTTTTTTAACGCACAAATTAAATTCACGTTAATTAATTAATAATAAATAACAAATGACACAGCAATAATATCACAACTTAAAAATCTTGTAGGAAAGGATGCCGCACCTGCCGTGTCGCTGTACGGTCGAACGAAATCGACAAAAGCGGAAATTACCCCAGCACCAGGCGATTACAATCCGCAAACGGCGGATAGCTCGCCGAAATATTCCTTCGGCGTTAAAACACAAATCGAGAAGGTCAGCTGTACACCTGGTAAGTTTAAATCTACACACAATATAATTTACAGATTTTAATTGACCAACAATCTACATAAAAACTTGGAAATGGTGCGCGACGTAAAGCCGAAAGTATATTACGGCTGTATGAATATTTTTTATTACAGAGTTAATTCATTTAAAAAAGTACTTATATCTTTTTATAGTCTTATATGATTTTATTTTGAATATGCACATATGATAATTCTTATTTTTTTATTGAAAAAGTTTAAAGCTCTGCTAAATTACAACCCCTTTATAGAGACTACGTTATAATTACAGACATAGCTCGTCTGTGACTACCACGGTAGACCTAATCCATTGTATTACAGTAGTCTGTAAATATCTTAAAATAACTGCTAATCTATAGATAGTCTACGGTAATTACTCTCTCGCCAGAGAAAAAAGGTTTCTAATAGACTGTGATGTATAGACTAAATATGTATATTATCCTCTAATCTATTACAATAATGTACATTATACGGAACTTATAATAAATTCCGTATATACATACTTGATTAATCAGATAGTCTGTAAAATAACTGCACACAGATTATCACAAAGGTATTGTCGATAAAAAATTTTAATTGTTGTTTCTGAGAAATCTTGTTACAAACGGATAATTGAAAAGCACCACTTACGTCGTATACTCTTATATTTGTTATAACATCAATCTACAACAAAAGTACGAAAACATGTGTAAATATTGCATCTCGATCATAGCACCGAGCGATTATCGCGCTGAAATCGTGAATCTCTGCAGAGCAGCAGCGTTCAGTTTCGGGGTAAAAGCTGTGTTGGAAAGATCGAGTTATATGTCCGGTAATTATATAGTCAATTAAATACATGTAGCCGCGATCTGAGTATTTCGTGTTGCTAATAGCAATTCTTGGCAAAATAATAAGAAAGATGGACAGGATTCAATGTCATAATACATGGCTAAACAGAACGCTGCAGGAAATTTAGCATGTTGATCGCAATGTCGTATAACGGAATGTGTTATAACAAAATAAAAATGCATTTCAAATTGCATTATATAAAATCGCTTTTAATATCGCGTGTGTGATAATTACTGAATGTCATTTGATTTCATCCATTTGAAATAATTATCTCGTTTCGATTACACGAAGAGTATTTATCTTTATTGATGGATTATTTTTCAGAGCTCTAAATATTCGAAAAATTTTCTTAATAATTAATGAATCACATGAATCGTATATATAGGAGAAATGTATATCATATTATATTATTATATATCGATGCAATAATGTTTAGGAAAATCGATGCCACCGCAACTATAAATTGGCGATTAGCTATGGGACTTCGTTTGAGGATTAATCGCATCAAAAGTCGATTATTCAAAGCTATTATCACCGAAGAATTAACGCTTAGGTACAAAAACGTGGTTTCTTTAAACATAGAATCATTAGGGCTCACGTAATCTATAGCAATACAAACTGCTAATAAATTTCAGATTTTTAAGCACTGTAAATTTCTCAGAGTGGTATTATGATTACAAAATCGTTGAAGTAACAACATTTTTTTTTTCTTCATTGTCAGTATTCCACCTTATGCCTCTGAGTATTTAATTTCATATCCTTAAAATCCACAGCAATTAACTAATGCACGTGTGGCGTTTAGAATGTAGCTAAAAGTAATTGTGTGCGAATAATATAGATCGATTAATGTAGTAGATCAAACAATGTAAACAAAGAGTAATATTCTCGTAATTTGATATTTAGAGATATGCAATGCGCGCTAAATTGATAGCTGACACGTAGCCGCATACCTATACGTATAAAATTGATAGCGTAGTGTCGCTTATCGCCGTAAAGTATATTGTTGCATGTCTCGCGATATATGTTGAATTCCCGTACGTATCTCACACCGTTAATATCTTCCCTTCACGTGTTGTTAATCCATTAAGAAACTTGTCAGTGATGCAAATAGAAAATCACTGGTACACCGTGGAACTTGTAAAATTTATCGACAAGTGTCTAGCTCCAGGTACTTATCGTCCCGAAAAAACGAGGCTGGACGGCGCACCGCAGTTCACGTTCGGAGTTAAAACGCCGCTCGATAAGCCGAGCGATACGCCAGGTATAATACAAAACGAAACAATTTAAAAAATGAAAAATTAAATTAAAATTCCATTAAGATTCCAGTCTCAGATAGAGACAAGTGAGCACGTACATAGATCCTTGGAGGTTTTGAAGAAATTTTATTATTTTCGCTCGTCGGAGCGAGTCTCTCTCTCTCTCTCTCTCTCTCTCTCTCTCTCTCTCTCTCTCTCT